CCCCAAAACCCCAAAACCCCAAAACCCCAAAACCCCTAACAGCTGTTCACGAATTGGGATAAATAAAATGAATTTGAAAGATAGGTGAAGTTATTTGCCAAATGTTATATTCATTGGGCCTGATGCCATTACCTTGGAACCCTCCTGAGAATGGCTTTGCTCAAGTCCTGAAGAATCATCTGTTGACTGCTTTTGTTTAAAGGGATTCTCATGATTTCGTACATTTTTGTTCCCTTTTAGAGACCTATAATCATAAGTAAGCTGAAAGAGAGAGAAAAAAAGCTTACAATGCAGGCATTTTGTATTGAACCAGCTGGCTATTAGAACGAGAATTCTCCTCATGTTTCAAACCTCGATGATTTTTCATATCTGATCAATGTTCTGTAGTCACTTCGCTTGTCCTCTCAGTTACAAGACAGCTTGTATCTTCCTTTATGTCAAGGCTGCATTGCTCCTTCGCTCCAGCTGAAGATAGATTGTGTAGTCTTTTCGTGCTATTCTCTCATTCAAACTCAAGGCTTAGTTCCTCCTGATCTGGGATATGATCTACTCATTTTTGTAAAGCCATGAATTCTTCATGAAGTTGTTGCTCTGTTTTTGCCTTAATTGTCTCATTTCTCTGAGGGAGTAAGTGGAGATTATGTAAGTAATGATTTTGGTTGATAAAAATACTCCTCTTACTCCCCTGAGAGACACTATTATCTTCCACATTCTCCATCATACTCTTGGGCTATAACAGTCAAAAATGGTGAATCCAAGACTTACCTCCTCAGTTATCTCAATCCTGTTGAGATAGTTATCCAGATTGGAAATATTTTGTGATTCTGATTTCTTCATCAACCGCAACCGTTTAATATTTGAATCATTCTTCTTATTCTTCTTCATATTTTTAGGCATGCCTTTCTTCTTTGTTCTACCAATAGCTAGCCCAGGTTGATCCTTATTGGTAAGATTTCTGCCAAATTTTGGCTTCTGAACATCCTATATAATTCTGGTGAATTTTATACAAAATCTCAACTTACTCCTTTAGCCTGGTCTTGATCTCCTTGACTAGACTGTCTAGGATGGTTATAGTTTTTATCAGAAGACCCTGGGCGAGAAATAGACGCAGCGTCGATGATTAACCTTGGTCGTTTAGCACTCTTAATCCGCTTCTTCTTTGGTTTCAGGGAATTCTTAAATCGATCCTTATTAAACTGCACCAACTGTCTGTTGATTTTCTTCTTAGTAATGTCCTCTGGATTTAATTTTAACTAAATTCGCGTCAGTTAGGCTGAAACGATATTTACTTTTTGCTTGGATTCTTCTAGATTTTCCTTGTTTTTCTTGAAATTTAGCCTAGCTTTGACTCCTCCTTCTTTTGGGGCTCAGAGAGGGACGTAACTAGCCTTGTTCTGAAATGGTGTAAAAACTAACCCTTACCATGAAGTTTTGAGACAGCTCTGATTTTGACCGAAAAAGTCCTTTGTTATACAAGTTATTCTCCTTGGGGATGTTGGAATGGTTGTTTCTGAGTTTTAAAGACTTCAAGTTATAGTTTGCAGAAGGCCTTTGTGGCATTTCCCCTCCTGCTGCGAGTTGGAAGGGAATATCTTCAGCCATATTTACTGCAAGTCCCTTAGCTAGTTTGTTGATATGGCTAAATTTCCTCGGCCATACCTCTTTTCCTTGGAAGAAGGATGTCTCTTCCCCTTCTTTCTCCACAGTTTGAAGCCGAACTGATGTAATAGAGCTATTAATCTCAAATGGGATTTGATTAGGAGTACAGATTGAATTGTTCTCAACAAAATTAAGATTGCTCTTCACACTCTTCAAAGAGCTATTCTTGGTATGGAAGATTGAATCCTTCAAAACACCCATTTCGCGAAGTGTTGGGTTTTGGATACAACTAGAAATCCCATTATTCATGGCATGAACCAAGGGAGTTTGTCTCTGAGACCTGTTGCGAGCTAATGCTTTCTTCTCTTTTCTTCCCTCACTCATGGATCTCTTTGGGAATTCAGAGATTTTTTGAATATTTGGCTGAATTGTTGCTTTGTTTCCAGTAAAGACTCGTCTTTGTCTACGACTTTCGACTCTGTCCACTGAATAAGACTTATTTATCATTTCTCTTCATATAATAGTTCTTATGGGGAGTTTTATCCTGTAAGAATCATGATGGAAATTTTTTTATTTTCATTAACCTATCTTGATCAGTAACTCTTCTCTTCTGTGAATTTGAATTTTCAAGTCTTTCTTTGGATGTTTTGGAAGAGCTGTGGAATAATTTATGACTACAACTTCTAGGGTTAAAGATATGGCTTGTCGATGGAGGTTGAGAACGGTCTGTCCGAGTAGAGTCTTGGAGACTATACTGGCCATCACTTTTTATCATTTCAAAAATTTATTTAATTGTTGAAAATTGGGGTTTTGGGGTTTTGGGGTTTTGGGGTTTTGGGGTTTTGGGG